TGATTTCATGGTTCGTGGGTTCGAGCCCCGCGTCGGGCTCTGTGCTGACTGCCAGCTCAGAGCCTGGAACCTGTTTCAGTCTGTGACTCCCTCTCTCTCTGACCCTCCCCTGCTCACGCTGTCTCTCTCTCTCCTAGAAATAAATAAAACATTAAAAAAAAATAATAATGCCTATTTACAAACCTTAGGAAAGAATACTGTATGTGTTATTTCTAAACCAGAAAGAGGGTTCCGAAATCGAGGGGAAGGAAGTAAAGCACTAGAGCAAACAGGTGGCCATTGGGGATGGTGAGGAGACTCCTTTTATTTGGGCCCCCAGGCTCCCAGCAGTGAGGTTTGCCAGGATACGCAGCCACTGAGCGGCGGTGACCCACACTGAGGTGCACATAGTCTGCCTACCCTGAGGGGACGTCCAAGGTCACTGAGAAACAAAGTGTGCGGGTTTCGGAGAACCTAAGACTGACTGGCTTGTGCTCACACTGCATGCGTCTGGGGCATTTCAACCCTGCTGGAGCAGAAGATGGGACTGATTCCAGGACAGAATCAATGCAAGAGGGCAGTGAGTCTCAGGAAGGTTTGGAAGCCTCGCTCATCCATGGGAGGAGCCAGGCCAAAAGAGCGAAGCTGAGTTTTTTTATACTACAACTTCATCTCGGCTTGGGTCATGCTCTCACGGTTCATAGATTCGAGTCCCACATCGGGCTCCGTGCTGGCAGTTGCAGATCCTCCTTAGGGCTCTCTCTCCCTCTCTCCCTCTGCCCCTCCCCACTCACTCTCTCTTTTCTCTCTCAAAAATAAGTAAGCTTAAATAAATAAATCTTTTTAAAAAATGCAACCACACCAGAAACACTTTGAGAACCGATATTCTACAACTTTCAGAAATAAATTTAAAATTAAGATTCGGGTCACCCGGGTGGTTCAGTTGGTTAAGTCTGACTCTTCATTTTGGCTCAGGTTATGATCTCAGAGTTCCATGAGTTCGAGCCCCACACTGGGCTCTGCACTGAAAGTGTGGAGCCTGCTTCAGATTCTGTCTCCCTCTCTCTCTGCCCCTCCTCCACTTGCTCTCACTCCTCTCTCTCTCAAAATAAATAAAAATAGACTTTAAAGAAATTAAAAAAATTAAATTAAGATATGTGTCCTTTGTAACATACAATACACAACAGCAAAAAGAGAGTCTAATTAATTTGGAGCTGAAGGGAAAATGTGGACTTTTCAACTTATTTTGAGTCATTAGGATACGTGCTTTCAGATGTCGAGGGAAGAGGAAGCACTTGCATCTTGACAAATCAATAATAAATTCCGTCTTAATCAAAGATGCTTTGAATTAATTTTTGTACCATGTCTCCTTCCTACGCTCCGGTTCGTTCTATTTTAACTGACACCAAGGAAGGGACAAAGTATAACAAAAACGTGGTTCACAAAAATATACATCTATCTTCTTAGCTTCTGGGCACAGAAGTAAATTTATGACAACTTTAATACTAGCTTGAGTAGCTAAGCCCAATTATAATTATCTTGCTGGGAAGATAAATTAATTAAACATGCTGGTGTGATAAAGACCCCACAGCAAACCTAGAATAAACACACCCACGAAGGAGGACAGGCACTTGAGGTAAAGGAGAAGAGAAGGGAAAGGCAGTAGTTAGCCCGTCTGTGGGGACAGTAATGGGACAAGGTGATCTTTTCGAGAGGACATGAAGCACATTACCCTGGAAAGGAGACTATCCGGCGGGCTTTGCCCACCAGGTCCCTAATTCTCCTCTTCGACTTTGTGATTTGCTAATGGGAAACACATGTCTCCCTCTTGCACCAAGTTCAAATGACTCTGGAATTCCAACCGTGCAGCTCAGCGACTGAACCAGAACAAGGGGAGAACTTGTCAGGATTTAAGAGCTTTCAGCAAAGCCCTTCAATCGCAGCCAGCACCCTATTCCACGGAAGGATATCAATTATAGATAGTGACTTGCTTGAGCAGGCAGTCGGGACTGTCAGACACTAGATAGACAGCCATGAGGAATCATGAATCTTTCTATTAACTGTAAGAGAGGGAAAAAGAATGGGTCATGGCTATAAATAAGGCAGAGCATCAGAATGGTTTAACACCTTGCCTCTTGGTTGTATGTAGCATGAAAATTCAACTAATTCACAAGATGTCCTCTCTCCGAGGAAAGCCGTGGGAATGGAAACAGTTAATGCTGCCCTCAGTCTTTAAAAAAGGGGGGTCTGCAGCTGGTATTTTTTCCACCTGCCACCGAAATAATGAGGTGGACGTGAAGTGGCTATTCCTTCAATCAACAAAAAAATAAAGTGCCCACGTTAGAGCAGGCCACTGCTAATCCTACCAGAGACGGCCGTGAGTGTGGCGGGGCTCACTCGTATATCCTGCAAAGTGCAGTCGATTTACACGCACAGATTTGGATTTTCCACACTTCAGGTAATAAGTAAAAAGGTGGAAAATAGGTGATATAAACTAGTGTTTTTATTCATGTCGCTGCAAGTCATAATTTTAATCCATTTAACTTACAGAATTTATCTCAGACTAAAATTAATATCGTAAAGGATTCATATCATTGGATTTCCCCCTAATTCTGACAGGAGTAACTCCTAGCTGATTTGGGATTTAAAGAAAAATTCCACTATACATGGATTTGTTAACAATTTTTCCAGATAAAACAGACAACACGGTGGTCACTTAAGTCGATAGTTTAAGCTTCGATAGTTAAGTGATAGTTAAACTCGCCTTTAAACTACTCAGACCTCAGCCTTTCACCCCCGACACTAAGTACAAACACCTACAAGAGTCACAGTCCTGTAAAAGCTTTCGCGTGAAACAGGCAGAGAAAAGGTTAAGGTATTACCCAAATCCCCCCAAATGCTACCTCAAACCTGGTCCCTAATGAGGAGCACAATTTCTTTTAAATGTAGGCTCAGAGTAGGCTCCAGTCCGCCTTTGATAACAGCAGGGCCATAATCACAGCGCTCCTCGGAAACGACAATGACTTATCCGCAGAAGAGGCACCCGGAGACCGCGATGTTTTCACAAGCAAGCAGTCCAGGGAACACCTCATTAGTGACGGCGGTTTTCACGCAAACAATTTCCGCTCATCGATGCTGATCACTCGTTATATCACAAAGGCTATTCCTGACATCCTTTCCTCTTCGGGAAAATTTGCCTACACGAAAAGAAAAATATGCCAAACATCCCCCCCCCCCCGCCCTTCAGTAGTCCAATGTCTGTGGTTTCCATTAAAAGTCACCAAGAAAAAAGGGCCATTAAGTAAAGGGCTGGCTTAGAAATAACACTTGCATCAAATTAGAGAGAGAGAATCGAATTAGGTTCCTGAAACAATCTGGAAACCTACCTTAATTAAAAGCATTTGACTTTCTAGGTTCTTGCTGCGCTGAGAAATCTATAATTCTTCCTAGGCAATTACGAGGAGACATGATTACAAAGAAACGTTTTGGGGGGAAACCCAGCTGATGTCATCATGTTAGCTCCTCAAAACGTTCTGTGCCTGACAGATCTCTAACCCAGCAGACCTAGGGCTGTGCGGAATGTGTGTACAGAGGACGAGCCAAGTTGCCGGAGACACACTGAGCAGCTCGCGAGGCCCATGAACGCTGTGGGCTGTGTCGGGGGAGGTGTAACTTTAGTGCTGAAATGGAGAAGGGTTATCGAGAAGTATGGATCATCTAAAATGAAAAGTTAACTATAAAAGAAAAGAGACTGGGGGAGGGGGGAGCGTGTGTGGTGTGTGCGCATGTGCTGGGTGGATCGAGGCTCCCAACGACAGCTGCTGTCAGGTCTCCAGTCACGTTAAAAGCAGATGAAAAGGCCGCACTCAGACGACCCTCCTTAAGGCCTTGATGGGACTCCTGTGCAAGCCTACAGCTTTTTCTTCTCGATCTTTGGAAGGCCCTTCCATCTCAGTTGCTCTTGGTCCGGTCTGCTAGGGAGGCCCCTCTGGTGTGAAAGAAAAGTGGCGAATAAAATGAAGCCTTGGTCGGGGCGCCCGGGTGGCTCAGTCGGTTAAGCGGCCGACTTCAGCTCAGGTCCGTGATCTCATGATTCGTGGGTTCGAGCCCCGCGTCGGGCTCTGTGCTGACAGCTCAGAGCCTGGAGCCGGCTTCGGATTCTGTGTCTCCCTCTCCTTCTGTCTGCCCATTTGCACTCTGTCTCGGTCTCTCAAAAATGCATAAACGTTAAGAAAATTAATAATAATGAAGCGTTGGTAAAGGGAACATGCCCAGTCAGGTGCATACCCATGGGAGTGGGGAGCGCACTGCGTTATCTGAAACAATACCCGGGGGGCAAGGACTGAACTTACTATTTCTGAACCTGGAATAGTAAGACACGACGTGTGGACCTCAATGTGACCGAGATGCAGGTTTCAGAAGCATGTGCCACGGAACACATTTAAAAGTCACATCACAATTTCCGTGAGACTCTTCGCCCTGCAAGGCTTGGCCGGAAGTCAAGAAACTGTGCTGACGGCTTCTCCAAGCATCTACCTATCTCACCCAGAGCAGTAATTGCCTCATAAAATGATGGGAGGCTCCTCGGACGGTGAGAGTGTGGAAGAAGAAGGCAGAAAGGAAAAAAGGAATCCCCCACCCTACGATTTCTTTCTGCTGTTGCCAGGTCTTAGAGAGGAGAATCAGACTTGGTTAAAAGGTTAATAATAATTCATGTCCAGCTTGCTATTACTCAATAACCATCAAAGACGCTAACTCAAAATAGTGTTTTCTGGCTTACAGGATCAGAGTCATTACACTCTCTATTGAAGACTTTATTGAATTTTACACTAAGCTTTAGCTGACTGAACAGGTCAAGCACCGTGGCTCAGAGTTTTCTTTATTCTCATAAAAGTCATAAAGCCCTCTCCGGTCTGCAACGCTGCTAGCTAAGAAACTTGACTCGGCGAGGGGTCAGGTCCACTGACCCCACTGACAAGGCCCCAGAGCTGTGAAGCCCAGAGCCCGCGCCCCCCACTCACGTGCACCAGCTGCTCCTGGGTGTCGAACTCCCTCGTGCAGCCCTCCCAATGGCAGTTGGTCTCATAGACGACTTCAGGCTCCTGTTTGCTTTCGTCTTTATCTCCTTCCTCCTTCACCAGGGTCGTTCCTTCCGGCTGCTCCTGGGGGGCGGGGAGGAGAGAGGGAGAGACTTCAGACACGGTGGAAAGCAGATAAGAGAAAGGAAAAAGCACCAAACGTGATCTCGGTTGGTCTGCCTCCAGACACTATTTCTCAGTGAAAATAAAATACAGCCTGGGTCTATCAGCTGGATTTTGTGACTCGAAGAAGAAGTCAAACATATGGGGTGTTCGTGTGTGTGTGTTTTCCGATTTGTGGAATGTATCTTCAGGGGTTGTTAATTTGGGATTAAAAACAAGAGTCCAGGGGCGCCTGGGTGGCTCAGTCGGTTAAGTGTCCTACTTTGGCTCGGGTCATGATCTCGTGGTTTGGGAGTTTAAGCCCCACGTTGGCTGATGGCTCCAAGTCTGAAGCCTGCTTTGGATTCTGTGTCTCCTCTCTCTGCCCCTCCCCTGCTCACACTCTCTTTCTCAAAAATAAACATTAAAAACAGAAACAAAAGCAAAAAAACCACAACTGTCCAAGCTATGATGATGATTAGAAGTGGAAGCCAAATCTTGCCCCTGATAGGAGAGAACAAAGAAACTGAAATGTCATCCCCTAAGAGAAGCAATTAAACTAATTCATGTTGTCTTTACCCAAAAGGCTGGTCTTTCTCTTCTGGACAGATTCTTTCCAGTGTATTAATTTGTTTATTCTCATATTTTGGAATCAGGGATGTGGTTTGCTAGTAATTCTAACTCTGTTTTCCCTGCCGTCGGAGGCTGGGGGATCATGTCTTCCCGGTTCAACTTCTGACTCCAGAGATACAGCTTGCTGCCCCAGAACCACAGCATCTGAGGCTTGGCGGCATGGTCTCTCCTCCTCTTCCAAGGCAGCTTTGCAGCAATGAACATACAAACAATTTCCAGAATGCTGGGAGAGGACTAAGTGCGTGGATTCAGGATCTAATGTGGGACAGGATGACAAATACCGTATCCTGGCGTTTCGGTGTAACGGGGAAGGTTGTCGGCCGGCAGAATTCCAGAGGAAAGATGGATTTCAGAGTCTACCCCACCCATTTATGCCATCCTCAACGTGCTCACTCAAAAGGAAATTTGAGTGGAGGTGGTCCGAGCTTGGGGCTGAGGCAGCCTGGATGTCGAATTCAGATTCTGTGGGCGTCTAAACTGCTGTATAGCCCCTATTTCAAAGAATTAAAATTCACTGACCTCCTTCCTGTGTTGGGTGCAGGGACCCCAGGAGATGGTATTATAATGCCTACAGGCATAATACATGTATTTTAAAACTGAAGCTCAGAGGATCTAAATGCCTAAAAGCAGAGACCAGATTGGAATTTCTAAACTTGTCCTTTCAGGACTTTGGAGAAAGGACCAGGATCTAATTGGCCTTCAGTTAGGTTAGCTATGCCCGGATCTGTCCCCTCCTGTTCTCCAAGCTCTCCTGGCAAGTGGAAAAAAGGCAAAATAAGAACATGGAAGAACATGATGGGTGGAGGGAATGTCACTAGCTGTGCCCAGCTCAGGCTTAGGGCCAGGACTTCCTATTTCAGACTTCAGACCAGGGCTAAGGACTGAAGCTTGGTTCCTATCAGTGACCCAACCACTTACACCACGCACTTCAGTTTATACCCCCCACAGCGTCTTGCATTTGATTTGTCTTTGCTTCTGAGCGAGAGAAGCAAACAGCGTCATTCCACAACTGGCCTTGTGTCAAATGCGCGGGTACAGCTGAGGCTGAGGCCGAGGCCACGGGTGATAAGGAAGTGCCGTGAGAGACGCCAGCCCGAGGGGAGCAACGAGCTGGCCGGTGGACCCGTGGTGCCTCACCTGCTGTCCCCGCGGCCCTGGGCTGGGCAGGTCTTCGTCGGGCTTGATCTTGGACCGTTTGTTGTGCATCAGGTCACCGGTGCTACTCACGGCGGACTCGCTTGTGGGCTTGTTCTGCCGGTCGCATTTGCAGGGACAGAGACAAAAATTAGGTTTCCATCAATGAAAGGGACGTTGCTAAAACACGAAGGTCTAGACAAGCAGGCTTATTTGGCATTAGAACAGTAACTCTGATAACGCCCCAATGACATGACTGCAGAGCTCCAAAAGTGTGTTTGACGCCAGAAAAATACATCCACGAGGCAGCTCCTTGTTTAAATCTCGGGGGTATAAACTCTCTGTGGCTTTTAAAAGCTAACAGGGGGGAGCCTGGGCTTTAATGAGTTCCCACAGCACATTTAGAGGAACAAAGTTGTGAGGTGGGTAAGTCGAGGGTGCAGATTCTCTGCGGAGCAGTGTTAGTGAGGAGGTCAGAGGGCACAGAACAGAAGGCACAGACAGCATGGTTCTATTCTGCCCGTGAAGTATCACACGATTCTAGGCGCCAGGGGACAGTGACCAAATGAGAGCAAACCCTTCATGCAATGTCGTCTACGGAGCAGACTTAGAGACAGCTAAGCCTCATCAGGCAGCCCGCGCTCCCACCGGGGATGAGACCACTCTGGTTCTAGAAGAAGCCGCTGTTTGGTGAGGAACCCATATAGGGCGCATTCACCAAACCTGACGACTGTGGCCCTGGGTTAGGAAGACAGGTGGCAGGAAGGAAGCCACAACCACGCTCGGAGCGCATGTGGTGACGTGGGTCTTCTCTAGGATTACAAGACGGTCAATTCACCGAGTTGTCTCTCTCACCTGTGCAGACTCAGAAGGGCCAGAGCTGACCTGGACGGGGTTCAGAACCGTAGGGATCCCAGGAATAGGCCTCTGTGTTGGAAAAGTTGGGGCAGGGTGGATGAGTGGAGGGCTGTGTCCAAAGGCTGAGCCTAAGCTCTGTTGTCGGCTTAAGATTTGCTGATGCATATGGAGAGACACGGGTGCAGAAGGGTAGGTGAAGCTCAAGGCCGGGCTGCGCGGGAGGGAAACAAAGAGAAGACCATCATTTACGCACAACGCCAAGGTTACCGCCAAGCACACTATGTGCGCATCTTTATGCCGACTGTTACCCTCCCAAATGACATCAGGTCCGTCTGTTTCAATTAGAAGCTAAAAACGGTTACTGATGAATGCCTTGGAAGGTTCCAAGAGAAACACGGGTACCAAGGCAGGACACGCGCGTGCGTGCACACATGCACACACGCCTGAAAGGAGCTTCAGCAAAACGGAAACAAAAGGCTCAATAACAGCTATTTATTGCAATAACAAACTTTATATAAAGAAGAAAATGGGTGACTACATGCTTTATAGTACTTTTATTGGCTCTCAGTGCTGTATGTCCCTGTGCATGGAGCGATTCCTTTAATCTCGGCTCACGCTGCGTGCTTTCATATGTCTCCAGATCTTATTACAAGAGGAAGGAAAATCAATTGGTTAAATGTGTTTTGAACACCATGCTTGTCATATCACTCATTTGTTTGTAAAGATGGAAAGCTTGGTTCATCCAGAATGCCACCTAAAGAATTTCCATCAGTGCCGTCTGGTTACAGAAGCTGATGGATTAACCTCTCCTGGCTGAAATCGGTGATCAATGGGCTTCGGTGGAGGAATATTCCAATGGGAGAGCACAGTCCCCTCTCCCAGCTAAATAGCATTAAATGTCTATGAAAGCCCATTATACATGCTAATGCCTGTCACCGCTTCATGATGCCACAGCATCGCCCAAGCTACTACAGTAGGTTCCGAGGGAGACACACTATTAGTTAAAGATTTCTCAACAAGTAGACAGTGCCAAACCATTCCTTGTGCCGGCACAGTTTAGGAATCAAATCCTCTTAAAAGAATGAAGTGTTCTTAAGGAATTTGCCAACGGCTTAAAAATGCATGAAAAACTATAATTGCATTCATGATGAACATTTCGTTCTTAAAAATAATCAGTGAAAAAAATATATATATATATATTTCCCCCATCCTGCTGCGTAATACCCAGAAAGAATCAAAGTTCCCTGTAATGTCAAAGGTAGAATTCATGCAAATTCCAATCTGGTGGGTTAATTACTATTGCTGTTAAGCGCATTAACTGAGAATATAATAATTACAATAACAAAATGCAAACCATTTCAACAACTTTAAGTAATAATTCTGAAGATATACTCTGTTCATTAATGTGACTCCACATTTTGCCTATTTGACTATAATCCATGAAAGGCGGCTTCAATGGGATTACATTACTATTATTCCTACAGAGAACCTTGCATTACGATAGCTTGCCCATTTAAGTCTGAATATCATTAAGAATACCCTGTGAGAATTTCACCAGGCATGGAGGAATTCTCCTTTCATTCTGTATTGTAGTTCTTTAATAAAGGAAAGCAGAAACATGGTGAAAACAGTCATTGTTCATAGTAAGTTAGGGAGAAATCAGTAATAATATTCCGTTTCCGCAGTGCTACAGTTTGCGCGTGTTTCCGAAAGCAACCATGAGTGATTACGGCAAGACTCAGCTAAGGTAGCCGCGTGGCTGATTGATAGGGCATTAATCAAAAGATGCATATCTGCCTCAGAATTTGTCCACAAGCTTTCTTCTAATAGCTGATTTCATGTTCACTGAGCTCTATGCCAGTTTGTCCAATTTATTTTTCAGTGTACAAGCCATTCATCAAAAAACACAATGATTTAACACCCCCCCCACCCTTTTCCTTTTGGTGAATGGGTATTACGAAGTAGAACTACCTTATTCTACTCATTAAAAAAGCAAAAACCAAAAGAGCCCACTACACATGTATTTACAGGGAACCTCCAGACATCTTCCCAGAGTTTCCTGAGCCCATGCCATCAAGCAGGCGTGGGAGGGGCATGGACAGTCAGTTACACTTCTAATTCTTGGAAGTATGACATCTGGGGGCCCAAAAAGTCAGCACCCGATCAAGAATCGAGGCCATTAGAGAAAGCATATCACAGGGCGGAAAACACCCTCAGTTGCATGGGTAAGCAATGGTTCATAGCCAGGCAGGATGGGTCCATTTTTACTTTTTAAAAGATGTTGGAAAGAAGGAAAGCACGGCCCAGCCTCCGGCTGCGGGCCCTGTCCTCAAGGTACAATCAGTGTTACCTCAGAGGGCAGAGGGAAGGGCAGGGACAGCTTTTGACACATTTGGGGAAGGAGCGTCCAGTACCCCCTGTGGGGCTGCTTTTTTGCAGGTGACAGGAATAAGCCTTCTCCACAATCCACGTCAACCCGCAGGGGCGCCGCGAGGACAGGCCCCACGGATGAGCATGGTCGCCCTCACTGCTCGCTCCTAGGGAGCCAGCAGCAACTCGAGGCGCCACGGGGAGCTGGCTGTGCCTCTCCATCACAGAGCCTCTCCCCTGCAACTCGGTGACAGACGTGGTTCTTGGCTCCGTCACAGCATCAGCCAGGATCTGGAGCCAAGGCTCCGCTGGCTCTCCAGAGAGTATGGAGGTGGAGACACAGTTTGTAGGGAAGCAGAAGGGGGGTGATGTCTGGACACTGCATGCCGATGTCCGCAATGACCCGAAGGAGGCGTGGCGCTAACTGCTGGGGAATTCCCACGGGTGGGGTCCGGAATCAGCGGCCACACCTGCTCATTGGCCCTAAGACTCTCTGCCTGGGCAGAAAGCAGGAGAGTGTCCTGCACACCGGTACCCTTGTGTCCTTCCCGAGCTTATGTGGCTGGGTCTCAGCTTACATGTCACCTGCTCAGAGAGCAAGGCCTTCTGAGCCCCACGGCATGACTGGTCCAATCACTCTCTACTCTTGGACATCTCTGTTCCGCAGCCACACCGGCACACTCCGAAGTCACACCCTCCCTCCCTCCTTCTAGCCTGAAGGGTCCCGATGAGCTGGCTCTCTGGTACCTGCAACACTACCCAGCACACAGGAGGCACTCACCAGTGAGTCAGCGAGTCACCGAACCTCTTCCTCAATTTCCAATTGCCGCTGCAGCGAGTTCCCACAAACGTAGTGGCTTAGTTACTATCACTTGAGTTACACACACTATCTTCGTGGCTCAGGAAGCCAGTGCTGTGTTCTTCTGGAGTCTATAGGTACTTTAGAAGCTGCCTGAATCCTCTGCTCATGGCCCCATATCACTCCGACCCTCTTCTCTGACTCAGACTCTGACTCTCCTGCTTTCCTCTCTAAGCATGCTTTTCAGTACATCAGGGCCACCCGAATAATCCAAAATCATCTCCCCATCTCCAAATCCTTAACTGAACCACAGCTACAAAATCCCTTCTGCCGTAAAAGGTAACATACTCATGCGTTTCTGGGACTGAGACATGAAATCTGTGGGGGCCTATCACCCTCAGAGCAGTCAGTTCAAAGGAAAAGCTACAACTGGATGTGTCTGTAAAACAAAGTTAGTGTCTAGATTCCGATCTTTCTATAGGACGTCAGCGGCTGAGGACAGTCTTTGCCAAATACAGAGGTCAGAACTGAAAAAGATAAATCATACCTTTAGAGACCCTAAAAAAAAAATCCCAAATAGTTCATGTATTTGTTTCATAATTTCCTAGAAATATAAAGTATTGCTGTTGTTGAGAATTTTTATAACTCTCTTCTGTGTCCCCTAAAGGAAGACATAGTCTAATTGAAAACTCAGTCTACCTGAGCTTTATTACCTCAAAGCCTTTTACATTTCTGCTCACCCTATTCTTTCCTATGGATCCCTTGAAGAAACGTTAATCTTACAATCTGATTTCTGGATTCTCTTCACTCAATATTTAGCTATATTAAATGTAATTTAAAAAAAACAACACTCTTTTTAGAGCTTTCACGTCTTTTCCAAATGACTGCATGAACGATGGGGTGACTTAAAACACGAATATTTATAACAATGTGACTTCTAATTATTTATCTATATTTAGTCAATGAGACTAAGAGAGAAGCGTCAGATGGCCCCCGTTTTCCCAAGCAATGTGCTAACAAGGTCACAGGCCTCCTGAGAGAACAATCCCAAAGTCAGTCTTATGGAGGAGAAGAAAAAGAAGTGCTGAAGTCGCGAAGTTTGAGGAGTACACGTTCCACAACAGCTGTGAATACGGAATGTGTATTCTAAGCGTCCTAGCCCAGATACAACAGAGAATCTTCTAGAAACTAGTGATCTTGGCAAAATACTTTGAGAAATACTCTTCTAGGACAACAGTTATAAAGTCAGAAGAAATTAATTTCAATAATCATTTGACCTTCACTTTTCTCAAGAGCAGAAAAAGAGAAAAGAGGGGTTTTAGGTCATTCACTATAATGTATGTGGTGTTCTCTTCCACCAAATATAATTTCTATCCATTAGAACAGATACAGTTATTGATTCTTTTGTGTGTTATAAAATACCTTAAAGGAGCGTTCCTTTGTGTTTGGTGACTCAGGGATAGAACTCTGAGCACATCTAAATAAAACTACACGTGGTCATCGGGGCGCCCGGGTGGCTCAGTCGGTTGTCAGCTCTTGATTTCAGCTCAGGTCATGATCTCAGTTTGTGAGATCATGAGATCGAGCTCTGAGTTGGGCTCTGTGCTAACAGCAGGGAGCCTGCTTGGGATTCTCTCTCTCTCTCTGCCCCTCCCCCACAGGCAGAGCACTCGCTCTCTTGCTCTCTCTCTCTCAAAATAAATAAGCATTTAGAAAAAACAAAACCAAAAACTACTCACTGTCAGTTTGCCCTTTATGTTCAGCTATCAGCTAACAGTGATCAACAAACTCGTCTGAGTGGGAAAAAGGTTTAAAATGAAAAATCCCAAAGTCTGAATCTTGAGAGAGTTCTAATGTATTTATTCTCTATCAAAAATTAGAGGTAAAGTTTCATCAATCCTCTTTTGTGAAGTGTGGTCAAATTTTGCAAACTGGGCCTTATTTCTTAATTTGTAGGAAGTAGCCCAGTCTTGCTTCATTCCTCCAGAAGCCTCCTGTCTGGGAATCTCAGCAAATATCCCCAGTCTGGCTAAAATTTGGAA